TTGCTGTAGATCCTGGTAGTGTGGATCAGTGAGTCGATGTCTCGCTCACTCCTGGCATACAGCTTGATGTCATCCATGTAGAGGAGGTGACTGATGATTGTTCTGCTTCGGAATTGGTATCCGTAGCCAGTCTTTGTGATGATCTGGCTGAGGGGGTTAAGGCCTATGCAGAACAGCAGCGGGGATAGTGCATCGCCTTGGTATATGCCGCACTTGATGGTGACTTGTGCTATTGGCTTTGCATTGGCTTCCAGACTTGTTTTCCACAGCTTCATTGAGTTCTTGATGAAGGCTATTAGAGTCCTGTTGATCTTGTACATTTCCAGGCATTCCAGTATCCATGTATGTGGCATTGAGTCATAGGCTTTCTTATAGTCAATCCAGGCAGTGCACAGATTTGTCTGCCTGGTCTTACAATCTCGGGTGACTGCTCTATCCACTAGTAGCTGGTGCTTGGCTCCTCTGGTGTTGCTTCCTATTCCCTTCTGGGCAGGGGGCATGTATTGAGCCATGTGCCTATTCATCTTAGCCGCTATGATGCCTGACAGGAGCTTCCATGTTGTACATAGGCAAGTTATTGGCCGGTAGTTGGATGGGGTTGTTCCCTTCTGCGGATCCTTCATGATCAGGATTGTCCGTCCTTGGGTTAGCCATTCTGGGTGGGTCCCATCCAACAGCAGTTGGTTCATTTGTGCTGCGAGGCGTGCATGAAGTGCGGTTAGTTTTTTCAGCCAGTAGGTGTGGATCATGTCACGGCCTGGTGCTGTCCAGCTCTTTATACCTGCCGCTCTTTCTTGGACATCTGCCGTTGTAATGGTTACTGGTTCTTGTTCTGGGAGATTGCTGTGATCTGTTCTTAGATCTTCCAGCCACTGAGCATTGGTGTTGTGGGATGCCTCCTTCTCCCATATGTTTCTCCAGTACTGTTCAGTCTCAGCCCTGGGTGGATCTGATCTTGAATTACCCTGCCACTGCGAGTACGCTTTGGATGGGTTGGTGGAGAACACCTGGTTTATTCTCCTGGCTTCTGCTTCTCCCTTGTATCTCTTTAGGCGGTTGGCCAGGGCGGCGAGTCTTTGTTTGGCAGTTTCCAGAGCCTCAGGAATCGACAGCTTGTTGCACTTAGGTAACCTCTTCCCTACACCTTTCTGCAGGTCTGAGAGCTGACTAACCTCTCTTCGTGTTGCCTTGATCTTGGCTTCCAGCCTTCTTCTCCATGGGGGCTCTGCTTTGTGGCCTGTGGTGTTTATCTTATAGCCAAGCATCTCTAGGATCACTGTAGCTGTGGCAGCTCATTGGTGTCCTTAGTAGGGATAGTATGTAGTGCTGCATTTACATCTTCTAGAAGGCTTTCAGAGGGTACTCTGTCACTTAGCCTTGGCAGTCTTGGTCGTCGTACTAGGGGATCCAGTTTCGTTATGATCTGCTGTCGCAGGTCAGCTGCCCTTACATCACAATTTTCAAATTGTGATGTGCATTTAAGCTTAACCCTCTGTTCACTCTGTTACCCATAAATAAAGGAGTTAGAAAAAGAACCTTAAAAATTAATGTCAGTATGAGGAAAGAGGGACTTTGGTTTGACCAAAATTAGACATTTAGGCCAACTTGAAAACCACAATCTATACAAAAAAAATGAACGCTCCACCCCAATGGTCAGCCACGGTTCACCTTCTAGCAAGGCAGTGATCTTATGCACACAATACAGCATGAACCAGGAACCAATCACTGGCATGTGTTAGGATGAAACAGTCAAAGTCTAGACATTATCCTAATTAATATATGTAGTAAGGCTTGGGAATTTGGGATACAGTTTTCATGCACTCTGACTAAGATGGAGCTATTTGCAAAGAATGGAAACATTTTCAGCCCTTGGATGTTGTGCGCTGGGAGAGCAGTGCCCAGAAAAAAGGGCTTTTACAAAATATGGAATTTTAGAGGGCCTGAGATCAAATATTTATCCTGGTTTTTATTAAACACATCTCATTTTATTGATATTGTACAGTACTGCGCTACTTTATATATTTAGATCACTTATGATAATTAATTTCTATTTATGACTTGAGTAAATAAAGCTTAAGCAAAAACTAAATCTGATGACTGTTATTGGCTTCACCTGAAACACCTGCAATGTCCCTGGTTCAGCTACAGCCAATCAACTTGGGGGTCACACCTTCTCCGAAGCCAATCAGCTTTTAAGACCTCCTTCATTTAGCTCCTGGTCCAGCTTCCCTCTCCCACACGCAAGCAAACTTTCACCCACCTACATCCCATCTCCTCCCTCATTCTCAGACTATTCTCAGTCCCAGTACCCACTGGCTTATTCCACCACCAGTGTCCCTGGGAGGAAGACTACTCTAATCCTTCTCTAGGTTACTCATCCAAGCGTATGTTGATTCACAGCATCGAAGTCTCCAGTCGCATCTTGGTTCGACTGGAGACTTCCCCACTATCACTACAAGCATGCTCAGCGCGAGGGAATGAAGAGTGTCAATGAGTCCTCGCAATTAGCTGGTTTTCCTTATATAGAAAAATTTTGAAGAATACTATTGTTAATTGTATAACTAGATTGAATGTTTTCTTATACAGCTTTTTCTCTGTGTGACTCTCTCCAGGTTGAAATATGCAAAAGTTTTAAAGGAATGTATACTTTTGCATGGTATTGTTCAGACCCCATCAAACATGTTCAATTGATTTTTTTTCTACTTTTCCTATTTGAAAGTTGTGTTAAATATTGATTGAAGTTATTCAGGATCGAGTGCAGCTTTAGCTCAGCAGCTGTTTTGACAATCTCATTAGCCTGTCCAATTTACTATTCTAACATGCTGTTTGCAGTTCCTAAGAAGAAAAAGACACTTCAAGCATTAAAAGAGAAAGGGTGCTTTCTGGGTTCATTTCTAAACACACTTTTTAGATTTTGGATATATTTTTTCTTCTTCCCCCATAAAATGAGGTTATCTCATGGGAACTTTCTCATTATCTGCAACCGTTTTGCTTCTTTGTGCTTACACTTTAATTGGAGACTTTCCTTATGATTTTATGAAATAAATGCTGCTTTCTAATTAACAAGAAGACAAAATGGTCTTTTGTTAGTTGCTCTAGCTTTCAATTATATTCCTTTAGGGTTACTGTACAACAGTGGCTCTGAGCTATCAAACTTCCTCCCGTAAAGATAAAAACGAAGCATTGCAAATGAACATTAGTCATCATAGCCTAGGGATTCATTAAATCCCTGGCATCAAACTGGTGTTTTTTTTTTTTTTGGTCATTTAATTAGGATGCAATAACTATGAAAAGATGAATTCCCACAACAGTAAAAAAGAAGCCGTGCCTGTGTTTCGTGGTTTATTAATTTTTTTTAATTCTGTTGTTTGTTTCTTTCCTGTGAAAGAGCAATATTACCTTCCTGATCTCAATGGGTGAGTGAAGCTGAATGACAAACATCGTGCAATAATAAATGTGTTCATTTTCATTTTGCAAAGTATGTATTTTATAGGATTTTTTTTTTTTTCAAGAAATTGGCTATCTGCTAATCAGGGATTCTCTCAACATATTCAAAGGGTTTTCTTAAACATAACAGAAAACATTTGGTTGATGTGGTGGCCACTAACGGTCTCATTTGAATAAGTTCAAATGAGACTTTCTTAGGTGGAACAAAAGGCCGAACTCTTCTGATCCACTATTACTGTATCCATCTTGCAGGGACGTCCTCATTAAATAAAAATCACACACATCTAATGGACTAGAACGACTCTTGCCACTCTAAATACCCCCGCTGTTGCTTTTAGCAGTATAATAAAGTCAGCATGGGGATGAAGCCAACAATATTCAAAGCAAGCTGTGAAATATTTGTTTTAGAGTCGCTCATGTGTTGGGCCTATTTTGCATAAGTTGGGCAGCCATGACACTTTCTGTTAGACAGATTTATCAAAACAACTATTTCCTTTTTGTTGCCAGAAACAAGCTCCTGGCATATTTCTGACTGAATAATTAAACACTAAAATGACTGGAAATGACAAAGCTCACATGTAGGCTCTTAGTTTGTTGAAGGTTAGGATTTGGATTGCAGGGTAGCCATTCAAGGAGCTAAATGTTAGCCTTGTTAGCCATACCAAAAACTGTTTTGTTTTTTGTTAGGGAGGCCTTCTTCTGCTTAACGTCTGCCTGGTCCAAACTTTTAGCTAAAATGGAAGATACATAAGTGGCTGTCATTTTAAACTGGTGAAGATACTATAATATCTGATCCAGGAAGTGTATTTTACATAGGCACCATACAAATAAATTCCCATCCAATATTGACTTTTTTAAGATCAAATGAAAAGCAAATACTGTTAACCCCAAATCACTGGCATTTTTTTTTTTAGTTTATCAACATGTTTCTTTTGACATGATGTGACTTTGAATTTTTTGAAATGGTCAAAATAGAATCCTGGTAAGAATCCAAAACTGAATCGGTAAAGAAAGCTTAAGAGTGGAGGGATGGTAAAGATGCCTATCAACCGCAAAGACATGAAGGTCAAGGTAAATCCTTCATACATCAAGAAAAATCTGCAAAATTAAGCTCAGAAAAAAGTTTTAGGCTGGGTGCCAAAAAAGATTTTACAATCAATTATACAGTTTGTCATTATGATCATAAAGTCTTCAATAAATATGAAAGGAATATTCATCGAAAATACAACAACAGTCTAAGGATAATAAAGTTTTGCCAGCTGAATTAGATGAATGATTATCCATAAATTTTGGATATAATTGTTTTTGTTTTAGTGAAGTGAGATGATTGTATAAATATAGAATTAGACCAAAAAATTTAGTTTTTATTCAAAAAGACACACTGAGCACATCCATAATACCTTTAAATGGAAAATAAAAAACATTCTGGGATGTGTCCATATTTTTTGCTTCCCTCTGTGAGCAGAGCAAATTGTGGACACTGCCTTATTTGAAAGGAGCACATAAAGCACAACTGTTTGAATATGGCAGAGTTGGTCCTTCATAGCTATGGTATAACATATAAAAAGAATACTGATATTGAGAGTGCGTGCTCTGAACAGCAGAGTGAAATAAAGAATACATTCGTTAAGTAACAGTACGTCATACAGAGTCGGATCTCAGTACACGTGCACATCCTGGGATTCCTTGTTAAGGAAAAACACTGTACCACTTTGGAAGTCGCCCGCATCTCTTGAGTAGCCCTGTTGGAGACATTACCAAGCAGGAATACTGTGATTACAAAGAAATATCCTCTAATATAAATGCAAAGCAAAGGAGGGAGAGCCTCGTTAAAAGCTTACACTGAACTTAGCTTTCATCTCCTCGACTTCTCTTGGAACTCTATCCGTCTCTAGAAATAGACAGAATATTTGAGCGGGAAATAATGACTATCAAACTCTTGACTTTTTATTGCATTTCATCAAGCTATTGCATTTTTATACCACAAATGTAACATTCAAGGAAATGAGTTCGCTTACTGTGCATCTTCCAGAACTTAATAGCCAATATGGCCACGACCACCAAGAAAATGACAGATGAACAGACCACCACAGAAAGCAACATGGGACTAAAAAACAGATATAAAGCTTGTTGAGGCAGTGTGCTTTTATTTAAAATGAAGGCACAGGACATCAATGCAATACAGTACTGGACTCTTACCTGTGATTGCTCCAGGTCTCCCTCGTGATGGGTTTGGCTGGGGGCAGGTTAGGAAAGGACTGATTTGTTACAGGTGGGACTGTAAGATTCAATACAGACAGAGATGAAGATATTAGAGATAAAAAACAAAACTAAAACTCCACTAGTATGGTGAGCACAGGAGAGTTTGTTTTGCAATAAAAACTCTATTCAAAGCATCAATATTCTTGACAGGTGAAATGAAAAAATCCATAAACTGAAGAGGTAGTAGTCCCTGCTTGACAACTGAAAAACATTTTGATCCTAAAAGCAACTTCTTTTTATTTCAAAGGCTTAAACAAGTTGATCTCTAATGTAATAATTACAAATATAAATTTCTCCATAAAATAAACTTGGCATTTGAATTGTGGAGAATCTAAGCTTTCTAAAGATGTATAACATGTCTATAATGGTAAAAGTTTAACCGGTGCTATTTTCATTTGACCCAGCAAACCAGTGGATGTTAAGACATAAATTAAACAGCTATCAGCGTCAATAAAGAATCTTGTATGCAAAAAAAGTAAACATAGTTGGTCTATTTTTTGAGAGTAAAGAGAGTTGCAAAATCTTTCAGTCTTAAACTAAAACAAAAGCTTAAAACACCATTTACTTAATAATTACGTTCTAACACATATCTGCCATTGGGTTCTATCGAATTTAAATAGTCCTAAAGTGAACACCGAGGACATAGAGATTGATTTAAACACCACATTTTAACAAGCAAGGTAAATTTGTATGTCTTCACCAAGGCATTTAATGTAAAATAAAATTCTTTTAAAATAATTGTGACTGAAAAAGCATTGGAAGGATGCCTCATTTAAAACATGAATAATTCTAGATCAAAGTCATGAATGAAGAAATTGCCGGAAAGGTAAGGGATAAAAACTGTTAAACAAAAACAAAAAGCGAAAAACTAAATTAATGCAAACCTTAGAGCCTAAATGTCCATGACTGAATGACTTAACCTCAACATTACTTACTGTAATATAACTATCGTGAAGTTAGAATCACATAAGAGAAGGTAGCCATTTTTATTTCTGTAATAAAGGGTATAAAACAAACAAAATGTATTAAAGTTAAGACTAAAGAATTCAGTTGTTTTTTGAAGATGAGTTTGGATCTTGAAATTACATCACACCTATTGGAAGAAGATAATTTGTTGTTAACTGTTGATGTGCTAAAATCTGTTAGCAACAATATTGCATATCTTTGAATTTTGTATCATAATATCTCAAGAAAGACTATCAGAAATAGAGGTTGGGCTTCTGATTTTGTATTAAACAAACCATATAATACACTTACCTTTTCTATATGCACTGCAGCCACATTAGAAATTGAATTTAAATTGAAATTTCACATTCCCAGTTGGAATTTTCATCTCAGGGGTCTGTTTTTCTCATTTTTCCAAGTGTTAACTTTTAATATTTTTCTTCAAAGAAAAAAGATAAATTATTTTTGCAGTAGGACATCTAAGCCATTGTGATAGACATAACACTAGAATATCTCTTGGGGTTGAGAATCCAATAGGGGAAATAGTTGGTTGCTTAATGATTCAGGGTTCAGCATCCAATATGGCTCCAGTCCATATAGAATGTAGTGAGTGTTGTCTGTATGAAACATTTATTATCCCTTCTGAGGGAATGCTCATTAAATCAGAGGCTACGGTTCTGTAAAACATGAACTCGTGAACTTCTTCCTTCTGTGTTTGAATACAGAAAATGGACAGGAATAAATCAGCTTGCATTGTAAGTAGTAGTTATTACCACAAAAAATAAGGAAATTCTGTTGATTTACCAACTTTTTTGCCTAATAACCCAGTTTATTCAAGTTTAATATTTTCCTGGATCTATGCTCCAACTTCAAACTACTGAGAGACTATGAGAGGTCAGGTGCATTTGCTGGCTAATCCTTACACTCTCCATATTCTCTTTGAAATATTAAGCTGTTATATTCCTAATTACAACAAAACATATCACAAAACTATATTAAATGCTTTTAAAAAGCTACAGGAGCAAGATGCAAAAAAGCTTTACCTCATGAAGCGACACCACATTACAATATCTTGCTACATTAGCTGGTACATACACCGTATTAAAGAGTTGAACAGTTAAAACTTCACAAACTCTAAATCTGATTTAGACTTGGCAGCAAAATAATACTTTTTTTTTTGTTTCAGCAGCAAATATTCCCATGACAATATGAAGGCCTTGAGGGTAGATGTTTATTTAGCTTTTCCTTATTTTGGTAAAGGGTGCTGCTTGCACTGCGCTGCAAGCTGTAACTCTATTAGAGGTAGAGATTGATCTTTTAAAAGCCTCGGTTATGTTTAATTTGCTGTTTTGTCTTTTGCGAAAGAAATAATTTTGTTTATAGCAGATTTGTCATTTGTATTCATATTTACCTATGTTAAAAAAAATAGACTGGTATGTGTAAAAAAGACTGGTAAAACTACTGATTGAACTCTTTTGCTTAATTAAAAGTTAGAAAATGCAGATTCTACTTTATACTTAAGGACAAAAGTAACATGTTTTTTTTTCCACAACATAACTTTTAAAAACTATTCTTAAAAAAAAAAAAAAACAGTTTCATGCATAAAAAATCTTTAAAATGTTCTGTTTTGTTCACTGTATAGGTAGGATTAAATAGAAAATACTGATCTGGCCTAGTTTTGGTTTAGTGTGAATTATCTAACTGTATAATGCAGCTTGAACTGAACTGGAAGAACAGCTGAAAACTTTTAGAGCTCTGCTATTCACAGCATTAAAGTTGCAAATAGCATTAAAATTGAAGCTGAACCTAAAAATAACCAACATATAAATGTGAAATCTAATAAAGGGTGAATAGATGAGGAATGCATTGTCTCAGAAACAGATCCATCATCTGTAATGTGCCCCCTTTCTTCATCCACGACTCTACCAATGCTTTAGTGTTTTTTATAAACATCTGTGCACAAACCAGACAGATTTTCTTCAGGATTTGGATTTTCCCCATGTTTTGTTTTGGCTGTGTTACATCATGTTGTTATCAATACGTATAGAAGTAACAAGCCTGTTTTTAAAACCTAAGGAGTCAAAATTAAAAACATTGGTGTTCAAATATAGTGAGTAAAGATCTTCGAAAATAGTCCTCTGAAAAATAAATACTCAAGTAAAGTACAGATATTAATAAAAAAAACTATTTAGATACAGTAACAAAGTATTTTATACTTACCTACTAGACCCCAGGGAACTATTTCAGTTGGCAGAAGTTTAAATGGCAAGTAATTAAAAAAATTAATATCTTTTATGGCACAAGCATAGACAATGAGACTGAAAATTCTGTACCCTAATATCTAAACACGATTTATTGTGTACGATACTTAAATAAAACTCTTCATTTATTCATTCATATAGAAAAAATATTATTTAAGGTTTACCTTCTCAACTGTATGGATTTGAATATACGAACCTACCGTGTTAAAATTTCAGTTAATATGCTATAATGCACTATTTACAAAACCAGATTTAAATATAATTGGTAAGTGTGTTATAATATCCAAACTTCTGTCTTTTACAATAGTAGACTAGACCTATTTGTATACTAAGTATTTTAAAGAGAGAAGAAAGATTAAGTAAAGGTATTCACACCCCTTTAACTTTGTTGTATTTTGTGTTGTTTCTACGGCAAGCTTAAATTTTTTGTGTTAGAATTTTGGGTGACCTAAATTCAGTAATAACTAGTAAGAAAAATATTAAATGGTTTGTAAATTTTTGCAAAAATAATTTTTTAAACGGTATATTGTTTTTTCTTTTTATTTGTTTAAGAGTGAGGAGACAAAGTGATGGTTTGTAAATGAACTTTTTACTCCAGTTATACTTGAGAGTATTTGGGAAATTTGGGCACATATAGAAACATATATTGTTCTGCGAATAATAGCTCAGTTGTTTACCATAATGCAAAGCATTTTGCATTAAGGCAAAAAAAGTATAAACTAGCCTATTGAGCTAGCCTGTCAGTGTTATGCCATATTCCATGTGAAGATGTTAGATTGAACAATGTTTCATGAGAAGGTCAAAGCTTGGAATATTGCTCTATAAACTAACGATGCTTCAAAACCTCACATATTTCTCCTTGACCTGTCTGCTTACATTGACTTCTGAAGGTAAGAGGTTGCGCTGAAATTTATATGGAGGCATCCAAGTATGAGGCTAAAGCTGCATGCAAAGCTGTTTTTAGAATTCCTATTTTAAAATGTGGTAAAATATGTGTTTTTGCTATTTTATAATTATCTGCTACTTTGCAGTTGCCTTTAATATAAACTCAAAGTGAAATACATTTGATTTTTTTTTTTTTTTTTTATGAAAATATGTGGGAAAAGGGCAGGATTTTAAAAGGCAGATCAATGCAAACCTGTCTAGTGCATTTTTAAAATGTATTATACGGAATCAACCTCCAAGCTGAAATATGTATTCAGTATATATTTTTTCTCTTGATCAACCTACTGGTGGTGGGTTTGGGTGTGACCAGCAAGTGTACAGCTATCTTCTGCTGCCCTGCAGAACACCAGTACCAAGCTGTATGTTTCATCTGCAGCTTCTTAAAGGTTACGGTGAAAGCCCTAGTTCTGTCATCTCTGATGGCCACGGAGGAATCTTCATAACTCCCGTCAGAACCTGTCGACAGGCAGGATCTCCAGTCACCACTCCGACACCATTTCTTCTCACTTTCTCTGTTGGCGGGCAGACACAGGGGAGTCACTGAAAACTGGTCTTCCAACAGTGTTTTGACATGAATGACAGATTTATGGTTTTCAAATGTGACTGAGAGCATTTTCAACAACACTTTAACAGCTGCTCTAGTGGTCTAATATAAAACCAGCACAATATTCTTAGAAATAAAATAAATGTAAATGCCTGTATCTCTCACTGTAGAGGCATTCAATTGTGACAGATCCCCCCTCCGCTCCACTCATCCTGCTGTTCACAGCTGACATACCTGCAGAAATGAGAAGGACAATTTAATGTTGATACTAATTCATCTAGAATGTAATAAATAAGTTGATTATTTTCAAGGATTATACACTACATGAAGAGTATTGCCTTAAATTATATCTCAGTTTATCCCTACTAAATGGTTATGGCTTACAGATAATGAAAACCCATCATTTGGTTGACTTAAACTTGAATTATTATATGAAAAGAATAAAAAGATGTTATCAAATAAATAAATATTGTGTGTATGTTTAGGGTTTGGGGTCCTTTTGCATGAATTACTGCATCATATCATCATATATCTGCATTATTGGGTATGTCTCTCATCTCCGTCCCTGCACCTCCTAGATTCTCTATGGGGTTTGTTGCGGCCATTTATGTAAACTTTTTGTAATTTGTAATTTCTACCAATTAAGTTTTCTTCTTTGTGTTGATAAAATATGTTTAAGTTGATTTAGAACCAAAAATTATAATACATTTTTTATGTTTAGATTACATTGTTAATTGTTAGACCCTCCCATTAATTTGAGTAATTAAGAACACACTGGGTACTGGATGGATTGTTTGGTAAATGTCGGGTACGGATAGGAGGTTTTGTAAAAGGATTATTGGGTTATTTTTATTGGATCATCTTTCGTTTTAACTTTGTTGCAAGACATTTTTAATAATCAATTTGTCTATGCTTTTACGATGAATAAGTTAAGTCGGAAGTGCGTACAAAGCCAAAAACCACCTGTTACCACCTATGGCCATTATTGGAAATTTCTGTATTTTTTGGAAACTAAGGCCGTGACAGGATTTATGTCAAACAGTCTTACGATGTCATTAAAGTGGGTATTAGTTCTATTTCAAATACAAGGCAATACAAATGTAGCTGGACAATAAATCAACATCTATATAAAGTACTCTCAAATGTCTTGATAGATGGCTGTGTTGACTTGGACTTGATAAAACACACCGAACCAACACAAACATATGTGAAGGCTGCACAAAACATCAAGGAAAGGAAACATTTTCATTGGACTTCAAGTCTGCTGGGGTTTTCCATTATCCTTGGGCACTTTTCTATTAGACTTTTTGTTTCACTCATTGTTCGTTCAGTATGCTTTTGTGTTGAATATATAGCAGGGTGCATTACTTTTTGTGACTTCCTCACCTGCATGGAGGGTGCCAGTGACTGTGCATTAGACAACTTTTAGGCCTGCAGTAGTCTTTGCTATATCAGGTCTAAATTTACAAACAGGTCTAAATCTGATGTGACTTTTCCCCAGTTTTCTGAAAGAGATTTTGACAGCTATCCAGGCGTATTTTCTGAATGCTTTTTCTCACATTTATCTTGTATTTGTAGTTCTGCTGTTTTTAACTAGATAGACAGCCATCCTGTAAGGTGCATTTGAAGTCAGATTCAAATAATGACCCACTCATCACTCTCCTGGGTCCATCCATTTCTGCATCATGCTTATCCCAAGCGGGGTCACCAGGGTGCAGGTGCCTATCTCCAGCTGTATACGGGCAAGAGGCGGGGTACACCCTGAACAGGTCATCAGTTCATCCCAGGGCAACACAGAGACAAACAACCATTCATGCACACACTCACACCTAAGGAGGATTTAAAGAAACCAATTCACTTAACATGTTTTTGGACTTTGGGAGGAAGCCAGAATACCCAGAGAAAACCCTCGCATGCTGAGGGAGAACATGCAGAAAGACCCCGGGCCAGAAATCAAACCCGGAACCTTCTTACTGCAAGGCAGCAGTGCTACCCACTGCACCACTGAGCAGCCCACTCTCTCTGTACAGTAAAACCGATGAAACAAATGATCCAGAACACTGTGGTGCATCAGTCCAAAAGGTTCCATGTCAGCCGTCTGTTCATTGAGCTTCATTGGTTATCCCTGGCTGCCCCAATCAAATTCAAGTCCCTAAAGCTAGCCTACAAAGTGTCTAAGGGTACGCTCCCGTCTACTTGAGCCCTCTAATAAAGGCTTATGTCACAACTCGTTCACTCCGGTCATCAGTGGATTGGCCTACACCTCGCTAAAGACAATCCAGACTGACCTACCAAGTGCAACAAGAACAGCAGCATCCCTTTCTCTCTTTAGGAAACTCTTAAAGACTAACCTATTCAAAGAACATCTCCTATCCTAACGTCCTAACATCCTTACCCATACCTCTGTACTCCTCTACTACTCTTTCTGTACTCCCCTCTCTCTCTCTTTGCTGTCACCACTGATTCTGACGATGGATTTTTCCTCTAGAGAAACCTATTGTCATATTGACGATAACTGTAAAATTATATCTACTTTGTAAGTCACTTTGCATAAAAGCATCTGCTAAATGCATTACATAAACACCACAAGGGTCTGATATTTAGTGAGTTGTTTACTCTGCCACCTGACTCATGATGACACTACTTATATAATTTCTTCGTAATTTGTTTAAAGGCAGGGTTATAGATGCTTTAAATCTCTCTGTGTTCTAAGATTAAAAAATACAATTTGAAAAACAGGTAAATTAAGCCAGCTTTATTTAACGAGAAAAGAAACTCTAATGCAGGGGTTTTGAGATTTTACCCAAAACCAAAATGATATTTCTTTTTTAGTTTTCCAAATATTGCAATTAATAATCTTTTTAAATTGTCCTCTGCACCAACCACAAGTATACATGTTTGGCTCCTGTTTTTATGGCCTTGAACGGTCCTTGCATGGAAAGTTGCTTACTTGTGACCTCTATTCACAAACCACTGGACTATCTGTTGATCACTTTTCTCCTTTGTAAAAATCTAAATTAAAGCGTAAGACCGTTATCTAAAGGGTTAGAATGAAGAAGTTAACCTCTTACTCTCGTTGAATTGAAGAGGACCAAAAATTTAGTAACTCTATGATTGGGAAACTGCTACTCTCATAGCAATGATTATATTGCAAATGCTATTATTATTTTTTTTTTCTACAGCACTAGTGGCTTGTTTTTTTTTCTAACAGTAGGCTGACAGGAAAGGAGGTATTAGAGAGGAGGAGAGACATGCAGGAAAGGACCAAAGGCCGGATTCTAACCCGGGTCGCCCATGTCAAGGACTAAGGCCTCCATACATGGGTTAATTTAACAGCTTTTCACTAAACATCTTATTCTCTATTGGCTTTATATTGAACATTTTCCTAAGCTAGAAACATGGGTTTTTATTAGCTATAAATCATAATTCAAATTATGAGAAATAGTTGTCAGAAATTTTAAACAAATGATGTCATTAATAAACGAGTTTGCATTTTTGATGTTCTGATTCACTGAGATTCGCCCGGGTTTTGAAAGCCTGTCAGGATTTGATTATTGGTGGAAAACCTTTACACTACTTACCATGTATGACTTTAATGTTGGTAAAAGTTGTGTCATCAGCGCTCCACATACCACCAATCTCCACGCCACACATGTACCAGCCAGATCCCTCCTCCTTCATGTCCTTCATGGTCACGGTGAACACCAGCTGAACTGGGTCATCAAAAATGCTCACTTTATTGTCAGCTGGATTTACGAGGTGGTGGTCATCGGTCCGAGCCAGCGTGGTACAGAATTCCTTGGTCCTCCCCTGGCACCAGTACTTTACATAGCTGGCAAACTGGGGCTCATAGTGGCAAGGGATTGTAAGAGTGTCGCCCTCTAGGACTGTGAACTCTTGCTCAGTGGTAACCTTAGATAGGAATGCTGACAGGAAGCGGAGATAATGCATGTGGGAAATTAGTTTAATCTTCACAAACGCTCCAACGGGAACAGAAGTTATCTAAAGAACATGTTTTTTATCCAAGTGACCTTCACTGTGTTTGTTGTTGCAGTTTTCTTTGTGTCATGGGAGAGTTTGTTCAGTTTATTCGTTTATTTTTAAAGTCCTTTTACTTAAAAGTGGATTTTCCTCCCTATATTTCACAAGATTTTAAAAGCCTGGCAAAATGAACCTCAAACATACCATTGCCTGCAGGCAAACAGTATAAGAAATTACAAGACTTAGAAAAACACTAAATCTCTAGGTACTTCTCGCAAAAAAAAAAAAGAGCAGCTATAAGAACTTTCAAGTCAGAGCCCAACAAATGATTAATGAAGGAGCTGAAAAAATGATATTGAGTAGTGAAGCAAAAAGAGTATGTTATGACTAAGCAGTATCTGGTAAGCACATAATAATAAAGTGGAGACGAAACAGCAGAGGCATTAATCATCCTTTGTGTTAAACTTCATCAACAGCTGCAAATGTGTTTGCCTGAAGTTTCTGACCTCAGTACTCATACCTGGAATCCATGGTAACAGGAGGAGGGTGACCATGTAGAGCGGTAGCATGTTTTGACTTCCCTTTAGGAGTTCTTAAAGATGATTCACTTCCCAGTGTAAACTCTTAGGACTCTGGGTTCCGTGGTGTCGATTTTCTCTTGGTCACGTGACCAAAAGCTGGACCCAGATGTTCCAGATGTTAACCATATAAATGCCAGGTACACAGAAGGAGAATTGGAATTGGGGCAAAGGGACGGTGGTTGTGAAAATAGGGGAACACAACTGCATAATAAAGTCACAGAAGTAACTTCACAAGAAAGCCACTGGTGCTTGCTTGTATTTTGGAATTTCCTACATATTTTATTTTGAAAAGATAGACCCAACCTTAAATCAAGACAGACAGTTAAATCTTCTTTGCAGTCTTACATTTTTATCATGCAAGTGAGGATTAATAGGTATGTGTTTCATAACGTTTACTACAAACCATAATCTCATATATACTGTATAAAAACATAGAAACTAGCTTTTCCTCTTACATTTCCTACACTACACTGTCCTAGTATTTATCCATAAGAATTTCAAACATTGGTCAATTATTTCTTATGGAGATTTTCTTACTTTATCCAAATCAATTGAACTTAAATTTCTTGGTATGTAGTAGTGTTGGCTTTGACTTGGCAGAGGTATCCTGAGTATCCAGAGCAACCTGCCTGAAGCTTCTCACTGAATTGGCATATTTCTCCTGAAAGAACTGGTGTAACCGAGCCAGGTTCATCGGCTGCCTTGCTCATAATAAAAAATGTTGGCCCTGCCAACTTCTTTATGATGGCTACTTCAAAACATTGATTTTGTTGACCTTATGCTACTTGATAGTACCCTGTGATATGGAAGGCTGCAGCTTTTCACTACATGGTTGATAGGCTATTTGGAGATAAGGCTGTTCTTTTTTATATTTTAAAGCACACCAGTTGCCCCTGCAGCAACACACAAAATGCTGCTGCAACCCCTTCCATTAACCATCCAAATGTAATGTTTGTTATTTATGCCAAACACTGATTTTAATTCAAATTACCTGACATGTTGAAAAATAATCAATCCTTGAATACATTATGTCAGCCTGTCACAAAGTTGGTGTGAGGTGAAGGGCTACAGTGCTGTGTACTGTAGCTATTGTTTCTATATTAAAAAATTCAGTTTGAACTTAAATAATGGATCAGGGCCAAGTCTTGGTCTCAAGGGTTTACAGCACTATCGACTCGAGTCTGTAGGAGACTGTGTTTTTATATCACGGAGCCCAACAATATAGGTTTAAAAGCCAAGTAAATAACTGGCTACATTCCACTTTCTGCAGATTGAGGAATAAATCAATAAGAGCTGACAGTGAATCTTGGGGTTATTTGAATTAACTGGTTTTGAACAAAGTTTAGTAAATGAAAGGCAAATTTAAAAGTATCTGCTTTTAACCTCACATTTCTACAAATCCATCTATGAAGATTAGATGATGGAATAAAGGTAAATAAAAAAATCTGAAATAGTTCTAGATTTTCACTGATTTAACTAAGTGAAAGTCTTGTATGTTAGAAATGTATCAGACATAGCGAAGAATAGTTCAACCCTTTTCTCACTTACAATATTGAGGATTATGCTTTATAGAAAATCATATCACTTAATTCGATCAGAAAATTGGAATAAGATAAATAACTAAATAAATTGTTAAACAGCAATGTTAGGCGTCTTTATTTTTACACATTTAATACTTTCTTGGCCTTTCTTTTGCCCGAATAACTGCATCAGCGTGGCCAGATACGGAGGTCATTAGTCTGCAAATTTGATGGAAGCCAAGCTTATTTAAATGATGTCCAGATCACCTGAACTGTTGGGTCTAGAAAGTTCTAGAAAGTAAAGGTCTAGAAAGTAAAGGATTTTAGGTCAGTCTGCCTGCCTGCCTAACCAGTACAGGAACACAATGGTCACTGATCTGCTTTTGGTGCATCTGGTAATGTGGGCAAGTACCAAATCTGGAAGTACTCCAAATGTGGTGTATGTGGTGCTAACTACGGACTTAAAACAGATAAGGTCAAAATCAGCAGACGACATGGCATTCAAAACTGTAACAGACTGAAAAGTTCACACTCGACTTCAAGGGATGTGGCTTCCATGCCTTTCCACTCTTCCCCGAGTCTCTGGGACCTTGTTTTATAATTTCAATGTCCACTTTTTCTAAAAAAAAAAAAAAAAAGATTAGATTTGTAGTCCAGGTTTAGGGTTAGTCTGGCCATGCTCTTGATGCACCGACTCCAGCCACATACCAGTCCTAAAATTCCCCATAAAGTTAGTTTTCATTTAACAATACCCTCAAAGCTTTGGTTATCCCTTTTTCTGGTGTTCTGTCTAATCAAACGTTTTCCTTCCACTCAACTTTCTGCAAATATATGCTTGGGTGAAGCACCTGTGAGCAAAAAGTTCCTTTAGAAATGAAATGACTTTGTGAAGTGTCAACATTTTCCAATCTTAACTGACTTTTACTATTAATTTTGTTTTTTCAGTTATTTTTGATTTTTATTTTTACTTCTTTTAAACCTTTATCCTGCAGCTGCATGTATCCTAACACATTGCTTATTTATTGCACTTCTGCTGCAAAATATGTTTAGTGTTCTTGCCATGTATTTATTGCTTTTATTGTATTGTAATGTCTATACTCATATTTATCTTATCACTGTTACCCGTCATGTCCCGCACTTTATGTCAGTTTTTAAATGTCAGTCTTTCTAGAGAGTAAACGTAATTTCATTTCCCTTGTATGTCTTGTACATATGAAGAAAGTGACAATAAAAGCTGACTTGACTTGCTTTAACCTTTATAGGTTGTTTTTAATAATCTGGCCAAAAATTAAAACTAGCCTTTTGGCTAACTGGCATATTTTACTGTTGTACTATGTTAAAATACATTGTCCTTTTAACATAAGACTACTCAGCAGTTTATAACGATAGTTTGACCAGCCCCATGAGCCCCGCTGATATCATTTAGAGCACGGCTCCTCAATTCCAGCCCTCCAGCCTCAGTGTCCACCTTGAAAATGTGTATCTGCTTCCACACACCGGAATCTACCCCTTAGTAAGCAACTATGGCTGCAACTAAAAATTATTTCGCAAATCGCTTAATCTGTCAATTTCTTTTCGATTAATTGATTAATAATCGCATACTCAAAGGTTCTTTAAAGTTTTTTTTACTAAATTAAGCCAAGTGAAACTCGAATTTTTCCACGAGTTCTGGATAGAGCATATTGAAAAGATAATTTTTTTTTTTCAATCTTAAATGCAAAATGTTTTATTTTTTTTACAATCTTGGTATAATTACCTCTCTAAGTGGGTCTCTGTAAGCTAAAAGCTTGTTTTACAGTCTCTATACTCCAGTTAATGATTACTAAATTAGTTGACGAGTATTTCAATAATCAATTAATCACAATTATTCCGATTGTTTCAGCCCTATATGCAAACAAGTTTTCCTATGTCTTGCTACGGAACTGAACATTTGACTCATATTCGACTTTGATTAGGGGGAGACACCATGAATCTCCAGCATTTAACTTTTTCACAATTTCATATAATATTGTGCATGTCAAATGACATGCAATATAATTTCTTTATATCCTTAGCTGTGTAACACATCCACTACATTGTTAAACAAGAAACACCAACCAGCAGGATGTTCTCTCACCACTAACCTTTTCTCTCATATAGGTAGCCAATTAATTCCAGTTAAATCCATTATTCTGACAGGAAGACATTTGAATTAAAGCAAAGCCACCATTACACTTCTTTTTTATTTCCGTCAGTGCAAAAGGGAATGTTTTACAAAGGTCAACATAACTAATGAATTATTTCAGTAAGAAAACTGTACGGCATCAAATGTAAGACATTGCATCTCATTGAGTGTTGATGCTGGATGTCGTCTGTCCAGATAAGCTGCTGTAAAACGGAGGAGATCTGATGACTCCTTTTGTGATCTGAGGGCAGAAAAGAGAGGAAAAAAATGACGTTTATTAACCAGGAGACAAAAACAATGGTCTGACTTATTTTGCTGTTGGCAAGTTCAAAATACAATGTCACTTTTTTTTTCTCCTAAGTAAAAACAGAATGTGGCACTCTACCAGTTTCTATGACAGTGGAATGATAAATTGGCAATGCTCGTTAAAATGAAACAGGCCTAAAGGGTAAGACTTGGTGTCTGCTTTTCTGTCCTATAGAAAATAAATACACCAACGTTCCAGATTTAGGACGCACAACGTTTATGTTCTAAGTTTTTAAAGTACATCTGGAGAGTATTACAGCACTGCACTTTTGGCACATCGAGTTATTTTACAGTTTCATTATAAATGTAACTAATCTCTTCACTCAAATTGTACATACAATATATTATTATGAGAATGCAGGAAATGTGTTTTGTGGCAATATAAAACTAAGAAATAACATTTAAGAAAGTATTTATAGCCTTTAGATTGAAGCTTGAAACTCAGTTAAGTTCCTTTCTGTTTCTTAATCATCTTTATGATGCATCTAAAATTTAAACATAGTCCATCTGTGGTGAATTCAGTTGACTGGACACGATTAGGAAAATACGTGCCTGTTCAGATTGGTTCCCCAAGTCGACAGTGCATGTCAGAGTGCAAACACTAAGCATTAAATCAAAGAATTTGGAACTCCAGACAGGATTCTTTCTTGTTAAATACCATTGATTCCTTAAAGCAGTGGTTCCCAAAGATTTTCTTCTGGGCCCCCCTTTGGATTACAATAAAATGTCCACCCCCCCCCCCCCCCCCCCCCCCCCCCCCAAAAAAAAATAAATAAAATAAAATAAAAAAAGAATCAACTGGGCGTTCAACCAGATATAATAAATCTATACACATATTTTGTTTTCAAACTCCACTGAAGTTTATTTCACACTTCAGGTTGCAACAAAACAAACTACACCATCTTTACAGTGGAACACTTTTGTGTAACTGTATTTTTTTCATAGTTCTATACTGTAGATTAGAAGAGGATTCTTTGTTGTCTGTGTTATTTTAAACATATTTCTTTTTTTTTATTTGTAACAATATTTAACTTTGCTATAATCTATACATTAAAAAAGCCTCTGTGCAAAATGGAGTGAAAACATTTAACAGCTCCCTGAGAGTT